TGTGATGTTTAAAATTATACAGCTGGTGGGCTACTACAAACAGAATATTCAGCAGCTCCGAAATGTGCAGAGGGAAAAAAATGTCTTGCTTAACGGCTTGTGTTATACTGAAATAAGTTGATAGATGGTAAGAGTAAAATGTTTTTTTTTTCTGTATTTCTGCAAACGCGCTGATGCAGGCAGAGATTTCATTATGCGTTGCTGCCAGGTTTTGATTAAAGATTCAGCTTTGCGGAGGGTTTCCACCGAGGTGCTTGAAGCAACATTTGTCTGATATGTTGCCATGTCCTTCTTCCTCTGTAACCAGGCCTGGTAACAATTAAATTCCTTTTCTCATCTTGCCCAGTTTTTGAGCATCATAACTGTGATTAGATTATCAGTGTAACAGGACAGTCATTGACTTCAGGATGTGCGCGCTTGTTCTGAATAAGTCAAATCAGTGTAACGGAGAAAAGCCACTAGCTGTGAGAAGAGAGGCAAATCCTCTTTGAGACACTCGGGCAGACATCCAACTCTGTGGCTCCAGCCTGCTTAATTAGAGTCAGTTCCCCCAGGAATATTTAGGTCGATTGTCCTGCAGCTCAGCCATGCCTCAGACAACAGAGTGGGCGGGAAGATCCCTAAAGATGGACAAATCCAGAAAACCTGAAACAAATGGGGTCTGAACTTCACATCGTCCGTTTTACGCATCTTTATGCGGTGAATTGGTTCTTGTTTTTCCAGCCTGAACATCTCATTCTATAAAGCAACATATTAGGAGGCTTGGCCGGTAAAAGGAACAGAAGTAAACCAAAGGTTAAATTTAATGCTCGTTTTCAAGTAATTATTTTTAGAAGTGCAAAATATCTGTTTTTTGTAAAAGAAAATAGTTTTTAGTTGAATTTCTAACAAGCAAGCTAAAAGTGTAACTTTCTTTTAGTCAGCTAACCGGCAGTATGTGGCAACAGGTTACTCTATTGTTTTACATGGTCAGATAAACTCTGACACTTTATTAAAGCTGTGGGAAACCTTTACAAAAATATGTTGTTTTTTTTTTCAACATATCTGTTAAAACTTTCAGCTTGTCCTGACGGTAAAACATGAAACTCCTCTGATTTCTCTCTGTGCCATCTGCAAGAATAATCTGCTTCTTGTCAGAAACAACCAATCCGAGCCAGGAGAGAAGTCTTAAGACTGTCAATCACACTTATGTATGTGCTGCTTAAGATTAATGTTCTGCAGAAGCTCGTGATTATGGAGAAACAACTTACCCTTATAAGAAAACTGTTTGTCTGCCATCACTGGTGGCTATGCTAACTAGCCTCAGTGTTCATAGCAGGCTCTGTTGTAGGAAAGGAGCACATACCCAAACTTGATTGACAGCGCTATGACACTCCTCCTGACTCTCACTATGGGGATTTGTCCCATTTTCCCTCCTCCTGGGGTCAGATCGTGGGGTCAGATGGGGGCATGTTACAGTAAATATCAGAGAATAGCTGAAAAAAACCAAAGATTTAAATGTGACACCTAAAATAAATAAGAATAAGTCAGAGATACAAAATCAAACAGCATCTCATCGCTGAGATGGTTTGATCTTAAGCACAAATTCACCATTTTAGAGACCTCAGGATCAGAACCGTTATAAATCTGATTTGACTAGACCGGTGGCCCTCCGAGGATATCTGGGATGATCTGAAGAGAAGAGTTTGAGCTAAACTCTTCTGTTCAGGATGCCTGAATCTGTTTTGTGATTCAGGCATCCTGTTTGAATTCTTGCCAACATGGACTGCAGAGGTAGCTGTGTGGCATGGGGCTTTTGCTTTCTCGTCCATTTAATGAACATTAAAAATTAAAAGCAAGTGAGTTCAGTTGACTTCAGGACCTCATATTGTTTTAAGTTCTGGAGTCTTTCTTTCCACTCCCTCTTAACAATTCAAATAGCTTTATTTTCATTTAATAGTCTCCTGGTCATATAATAGTAAATGAGTAAGTCTGTATAGCATAGGGATTGCTGAAACTGGAGTGTTAGAGTCCTAAAACTATTTTTCATACCCAGATGCTTTTTTGTTTTCCAGAACAACCCTGTCATCAGAGGGGATGTTTACGAGTGTAGTGAATCTAATAATTTGTCATAATATCAAAAATAAGTTAAACATGTCGATACAAAAACAGAGACTGATGAAAAATGTTTCCAAGACAGAATTTGAGAGATTGGATTTAGCAAGAGAAAAATGAAAAGCAAACATTTTTGATTTTATTTACATATCAGATTTGACTTACCTTTGAAATTAAAACTCGATTTAATAATTGTATTTTTGGCTGCTGCTAGCAGGTTAAGAATAACATATTTGTTTGCATTACTGAAGGAATGTGTTCTCAAAGAGGGATTATATAGAACTACATTTTACCGCCAGGAAAATGGGAGATTATTATTAATTTTAATTGTCATATTTTCTGAGTTCAAAGGAAATTTGTTCAGTGATTATAAAGAACTGCCTTTATCCTAACTATGTGTTACTCAACCCACATAGAGTAAATATAGTTTTTTTGACACTTACAAATTAATAAGCATTGAAAAAAGTCCAACAGCAGCTACAAACATTTTACCATCGTTTACCTCCCCCAAGATGAAGATACTAAGAGAATTGAAATAGACTTATTTACTTTTTATGTTGATCTTGAATGGATGCGCTGCCAACTGAGCGCAAACTAATTAAGCTGTTTGGGAATTTTTGTTTCCACTCAAGTCACAGCATTGATTGTTCTGAAATTAGTTACTTAAGTGAAAGAAAAAGTGATAAATGAAGCAATCAAATGTGCGCGAAGCAATACAGTCAGCATTTATTGATTGAAGATTTAGTGTCAGCTTTTACTGACAAAACCAAGATGCATAAAATTTATTTGATTTCTATTTTATTAGTGAATCTGAGCTTTGGAAGCTTGCAACAGCTAAAATGAAGCATTAAACTGAAGTGCTTTGTTTGCACAATTCCCTCTCTAGTTCCCTGTTTTTGCTTGGGGCTCTTACAATAAACACCAAATGTTTTCGTCTCATTGTAAACGATCATCTTAATAATCCTTTATTCTATAAAGAGAACATTCTGTGTGTTTCTCTGTGTGGATTATTTGCTCGTTTGGAAGTGTCTCTCTGCTGCATCCCTGAGATTTGTAGCTAGTCTCTAGATACCACAACTTCATTAAATGTCACTTTGGCCACTGCGACTCGCCTCTCACATGACTAGAAAGCAAATCAAAAGCTTCTTCAAGACAATATGGGAAACAATAAGTCAGAGAATGTGCTGGGAATCTGTGCTTGTGTTGAAAATTTATGATGTGCGACTTCAAAAGTGAGCGCAGAATGTTGAAACACAATGAAATCAGTTCGTATCTGCGAGAGAGGTAATTGGATTTATTGTTGAAATTGCTCAAAGCTATAAAGCTGTCATGGGTTCAGCCTCGGAGCATCAAGGACAGTCCCCCTCTAGAGACTGCTGTGAGACGAGAATAAATAAAGGGCTTTAGGGTGCAGAGGTCTAAGGAGAAAACCAACTGCTTGGGGAACGAAGACACTGAATGCAACGCAGTGTCTTGCAGAAAAATATTTATTCATATTTTGTTATATTTTGACAGCATTTCTATTGGGATTTTATGTTGTTTTGTGTTGATTATCGCGCAGATATTTACCTGTAAGAGCACTTGTTTTACAAAATGCTTTGCAGATAAAAATCTTAAAAGTGTGGTGTGAATATCTCCGAGTCAACACATTGCAGATCGAGGGTCAGTGTTGTCCTGGAAACTGGTTGGAAAAGCTCAGGTGTCATTGAAGGTGACTGACAGGTCGCTTCACCCAGCATTGAAAGATTTGCGATGAGAATAAAATATTTTTGGGGGGGCGTCTTGGGGCCCTCCGGTGACACGTTCCCATTTTATAACAGTCCACAAGTAGAGCTTATCGAACAAGAAGAGCAGCGAGGGGGATGTTGAAAGCATGTTTGTTTTACCAGCATGTGAATGAAAACAACACAGGGAATTGTTGCAAGTTTGACAGACTTGCAAAACGGTTAAAAGCTGCATCTATGAGGCCAATCTTTGTAATTAGACATGTATTAGGAATGCACTTCCACTTTAGCCTCTTCTTCTACTTACAGTCTTTGAAACAGGCTTCACCATCCACTGTTTAACATTAGAACTACAGGAGGAAAACAAGATGCCACAGATGGAGGAAGAGAGATGTAAAGAATCAGAGTTGTGAGAGTTTTGTTATGAAGGTCATGCCAGAGCCTGATATAACTCATAATGTATAACAGGCTCAAAGGGCATCTGATAACTGTAAGAGATTAATTATGAGCTTTAGATTAATTTGCATAGCATTTTTCTATAGAAAATGAATGGAAGTTTCAACGTGACATGTGAATACTTCCTGATTTACATCAAACAAAGGTTGGTCTTTCTATTACCTCAAAACATCATGTTCAGGCTATTCAAGCAGTTTGAATGTATCAAACTGTGGAGGAGTGCAGAAAGTATGTATATAAAAAAACTAACTTTCCCGCCCCCATGGCGTTTTTTTAAAGATTCATTCTCTGTAATACAGAGAAATAAACTTTTTTTCAGGAGCTGAAGTTTAAAGAAATCACTCAGCTTTCTCAGACTCTATTTCCTCCCACAGGTGATTTCACAATGTTTGGGTTCAATTTAGTCTAATGTTCGACTGAGAAGACGCAGACTGCGAGAGGGAGGCCTGCCAGAGCCATGACCTTATTTTACATGTTGAAGTTAATGGGAAGGAACAAGCACTGTCATTGTGGTTTCTCCCCACCCTGCATGGACCCATGCAGAGCACACAAACACAAACAAACAAATTTGCTATCATGGTCCTACGTGCCCCTGTGTATGTTGCTTGAAATGTTTTTTGCTTTCTTTCCAACATGTATTTTTTAAATTAAGTATCTCTGTCATTTCTGATTCTTTGCTTTGTAAATGTTCTCCAACTTACTGTGTGTATTCTTCCAAAACTGAAGGTGGCGGCCTTAGGGAAGAACACCAGGGGATACCACTATATCGTAGCCAATCTGGTAAGCACTAGCACAGACTCAACACACAATTAAGCTCGGTGTGATGCAATTAAGTAAAAAAGAATGTAACCCTCACATTTAACTCCATGGCAAAACGTCACACAACTACAGCCACGATAGAAAAGCTGAATCACTTTCTAAAGTTTCTTGCTTTATTATGAGCTAGTCGTGCTTTTTGCTCTCAGGGGATCTCCAACACGAGTTTGGACAAGGTCTTTTCTGGTGGGGCCAACATCACAAGCTTCCAAATCATCAACCCAGACAGCCCCATCGTGCAGCAGTTCCTCCAGCGCTGGGAGCGCTTGGATGAAAGAGAATTTCCAGAAGCCAAAAACACTCCACTGAAGGTCAGCGAGGCATAGCTGCTGATACCGCAGACGCTTTTATTTATGTTCAAAGGCAGCGTTTTCCCTCCTGCTCATTTTCCAAATTTCTGAAGTTTTAAAGTAACTCAAAAAGTATTCCTTCCTTATTGGTTTGCTGGAAAAAGCTTTGATGACCTGAAATTCAATGGATTGTCTGTTTGAGCAACACAAGGTAATGGAAAATTGTGATGGAAAGAAGATGATTTTAGCTTTCTTTTCTTTTTTTACAAATATTTTAGAAGAATCTGAACAGTGTTCCATGCATTTGTATTTAGCCACTTGTTCTGCAAAAGGGCTGCAAGACCTTTAGGTGTCTGTTCCAACTTTAGACATCTGGTCACCAAAAAGTTACCGAACAAAGCCCAGATCAATCAGATAAGTTGGAAAGCAACTGTTGACTTCAATTTTCAATTCTCAAATTCATTGGACAAGTCAAGCACATCATCGTGCATCAATATAAACCACTGCATTGTCACTCTGACTGTACGTTTAGAGTTGTTGCTCTGCTGAAGACTTCCGTAGGAAGAAGGTCGGACTGGATTTTTATTTAGGGGTATAAAAATAAAAGAGTCCTTAAACACAACACTTCAGACTTTCACCAATAATTTTGTAAACCATGTGTCCTTTCCCTAGCCCCTCACAATTATGTGTTGAGTGATGGACAGACACATAATTCACAACAAAAATGAAAAGAAAACTTGTTGCTTTTTTTCAGTATGAAAATGTTCTTGTATGAATATTGTTTCATACTTGTAGCCACTTGCTGTGATGGTGCAGCGTTGCGTTGGGTCACTGTGACGTAACGTCTCGCTTTAAGGTTCTCGTTTGGTCTTTGTCTCAGTACACATCAGCACTGACCCATGATGCCATCCTTGTGATCGCGGAAGCCTTCCGGTATCTTCGCCGCCAGCGAGTAGACGTGTCACGCAGAGGAAGTGCTGGTGACTGCCTCGCCAACCCCGCTGTGCCTTGGAGCCAAGGCATCGACATAGAGAGGGCACTCAAAATGGTAGGAACTGAGGAGAAACTTTGTCTTCACTTTTGATACAATGTCTATTTCTTAACCTGTTGTGTTTGTTTATGTCTTGCGCCATTACTTTTATCACAAGGGAAGACTTGCAAATAACTCTTGATAGACCTCTGCTGCAAATGGAAACGTTATTGTATTTTATTTTTTAATGTGCCATAACAAAACATGCTGAGCCTCAAATAACATTTTCTGCCAGGCTGAGTGTTTGCCTTCTTGCTGTGTGCTCAGAACAGGTGTTATAATTGTTTTCTTGGTACAACGGCAGGTTCAAGTACCAGGTATGACGGGGAACATCCAGTTTGACACATTTGGGCGACGGTCTAATTACACAATTGATGTGTACGAGATGAAGCCCAAAGGTCCCAGGAGGGTAAGTGAGCATGTAGTGTCAAAAACAATCATGATTTAATTAATTCTAAATGAGTTTGTTTCTTGAAGGACAAGCGTAGGATATAACTATCAGCACTGTGTGCATAGAGTCATGAATAGAGGGTTTGTTTTCTCTTTCCTTACTAGCTTTACAGCTGCTGGCTGTTGCTCAGTCTTGCAAATCCTTCTCGTGTCACCTGAAATGCAATTTCCTCAAAGATTTTGATTTGGAAATTATCCTTTCATCTAAAAACAATAGCCTGGAGTAGAACAAAAATAGAAATTATTAACAGAGAGTATGCTACCCAGCTTTCACACCATTATATTTTTCTGAGGCCACATTTAGCTTTGATTAGTGAACACATTTGCATATGATATTGCTTAAATAAGCTTACAAATGCAGTTTTTACAGCAATTTCTTCTATATTAAACTTGTTTTTAACGTCTTAACTTATAATCTTGATTGTTTCAAAAATGCTTTGTGTTTGAGACAAATATGAAGCTCACCGATGACCATTTATTTGAGTTAAATGCTAACCTATGAGATGGAAAGTGTAAATATGTTACTTCTTCGAATATTTAATTAATAAAAAAACAAGCAACCAGTTAGGATTACATAATTCATTTACGGGTGGAGCTTAATAATCAGTATTTGTTTCTGAAATTATGTTAAAAAAATGTTATTAATTAACTTTGTATTGCAGTAGCTTAACTTAACACTTAATAAAGAGCTTTTAATTTGTGCACAATTTAAAAAAAATCACTGCTGGGATAATTATTGTATAATTATTATATAACTGAAGCACCCTTGTAATTGCCTTTCGCCAATTTGTAACTGACTTGCCAACTTAATATGCTTAGTGTCAAAAGTTTGTTTTTTTCAGGTCAGATAGTCTAAAAGTTATGCCTTCAGACTATTGATAAGAGTACATGTTAAGAATTTGGCACTGTTCCTTTTTTGGGGAACTGAAAGTCAAAGCAAATCTTGCGTGTTAAATCAAACGTACTGTGTCCAAATACAAGAGTATATTTTATCTCTATCTGAAGCTCAATAGAAAAAAAAAGTAGGCTGCCATTGTTACCCACAAATGTAGGCATGAGTTAAGAACTTCAGCTCACATTAACATTCAGCTGGAGCTATTCCATTTTGCCCACAAGCTTGGACCTTGAGCCTGGGATTGCTATGAAGCGCTAGCAAACAAACGCCTGCTACAAGGAGCTGCACTCATTTGGAAAAGCCATTTAGTTTGTTAACTTGACATCTGTAGCAGATGTCAATGCTTGTTAGTTTACATGCTGGACAGCTTCTTTATAGCACTGACAGGGCTGCTGTAGAATAAAGTTAGCTTGCCAACGGTTTGCCTGTAAGCCACAATCAACAGTTAGCATTAAGACCCTTCTACAAACCCATATGTGAATTCAAAGACACCTTTACACACATTAATTACGTTTTCGCTATTGGTTTTGAGTGCAGTGGTTGTGTTTGGGATATTAAACATTAGGCAGGCCAAAGGCATGAACAGTGCTGTCTAGAAGATGCTAACTCTAGCGCGTAGCTACAGTAGCTCTATGACCCTGAAGGCCCCACAGACGCTGACAGCAAAAGGGAGCGGCCCCATAATGTCTGTGCAGCTCAGCTCACAAGACGGCGTACATCAGCAGCCCCCTCATGTCCCATCTCAGTGTGAGACGATGTGCAGTGACAACAGAGTGTCTGCAGTGCATTATTTCCACCGGAGAAAAAAGAAATCTCTGTGGCTGAAATAAACAATGCATCTACCGGAATCATCTCAGGGTAAGACGGAACAAGGCCATTTTTATATATATACACACACACACGCACACACACACACAGTATATATATCTTGGGTTTTTTCTCACTGGTATTAATTTTATTCATGTTTGGTTGCTTTAGTGGTGCTGGTTTCTTGTTATGTAAGAGAACATTTGCTGAGCCAGGAATAGATTACTCCTACTCTGCTGAAGTGTGGCCCAGGTGAAGTGAGGAGTGCAGCTACAAGCTTTTTATTAAATCATAAATCAAGGAAAACCAAACTGTCTCCAGCTGTACACTTGGAGCGGAACAACACTTTACATGCTTGGTGGCGCTACCGTCCAAGCATGCATGAGAATCTCTAATAATACCAGTTTCCACAGAGACACACACAGTCATTAGTGACTTTAATTATAACTATTTATTTACCTACAAGTATTTGTATATTAATTTCACCTGGCTTTTTTAAGTTGGTGCTCATGCTACACAGATTTTTGTTGCTTTTACTGAAATTCACTGTTTTTACCTTGTACAGCACATCAGGATGATAAACAATTGTTTGAAAATATGTTTTTTTAACAATTTTGAGTAAAAAAAATTAATAATTGATTTAAGTTAAAATCGAAACACAACAGATTCAAATTGCTATTAAAGAAATGTCAAAATAATTTTGATTTAAATATTTATAATTGACATGAGCAGAAATATAAACAGCAATATGTTTCATACAATTGTTCAAAATATCGCTTTTCCTTGTCAATCTGCTTTCGTAAAGTAACACAAGTGCAGCAAGCTGCGCCACTGTTGCTTATTAACGAGTCAACGAGGGAAAAGTTTAATAGCCTTCTTTAAGTCAGGTAACTGGGAATGTCCAGTAAAATGTGGGGGCAGGGCATTCTTCATACAACAAATGAAAATATCACTTATCATTAAAAAGACTTAAAATTATTAAAATGCTATGACAAAAACTTTTGTAATTTTTAAAAATAACTTTCTAAAACCTTGGATCAGCCTGACAGTGGGAACCAGCCCACTGCAAAATGTGCTTTCCACTTCCTGTGATAACTGTGAACCCTTTGTGTCACTTTTTCAGATCGGCTACTGGAATGAGTACGAAAAATTTGTATATATTATGGATCAGCAGGTCACCAACGAATCCTCTTCTGTGGAAAACCGAACAATTGTGGTCACTACTATTATGGTACTCACTCTCAAAGCAGGTTCTAAGTGTTTCACCATAAGATTTCTGCCACTCAAGGTCAAGGTGTCCATTGTTGCAATCTGTCCTGGGAGGGTAGAATTATTTTACTTTTCAGTTGCTTTCCATCCACTCACTACATGTTGAAACAGTCGACTCACAAAGAGTGTTTCAACTGTATCCGTGTGGGTGCCAAAGCATTTTGGTTTTTTTATATTACAGTGGGCTGTTGTAGTAGTGACATCACAATAACGGCTTTGGTAAAGACTAACTATAAAGATAGACATCATCTTATTCACATTCAGTGCGTACGTAAGTAAAAATCTTTCCGCCTCATTAAGTAATTTGTCAGTGATGGTGGTGTACATGGAGTTAAAATGGTCAGTAGGAAAGGGACGGTTAGGTGTTTTTTTTTTAATAGACCAGGATGAGGACAAGACACAGCGCTAGCGACATTAGCTTCAGGTTAGAAATCATTAGCCATTTTTAAATGTACGATAAGGTGCTCCTTATCGTACATTTAAAACCATGGCTTTCTCGTTCCTTCTGACTTTGTCTATTATGTCTGCATCTTAGGCAAATTCAGAATGTAATAGTCACACATTCACACATTCCCATTTCAGCCTCTGAAAACTCATTGTCATCTCAGCCAGAGTGGAAGTGCTATTCAGTGAAAGAGAGGAGAAGCAGTAGTGTAGTGCCATTGCGTTATTGTCTGTCAGGCATGCTTTTGATTTAAACAAAGACAGCTGTTATTTTAGACACATCACAGTCATCTCATTGACTTCGTGTTGCTTTTTCAACTCTTCATAACATCAAAGAATGACACATATTCGATGAAAGGTAACTCTTTCATGTTGCTTTATAAGCACGTGTCGTGCAAAACTGTTCCACATCAGCAGATGTGGAATGTGATAGCCAGTCTCTAGGGTCAAATAACCTCTGAAAAACATGTACATGCCGTGTGATACAGTAAATCCCTGTTGATTAATACCTCAAGGTGACATTGATTCATCTTTAATGGCTGACATGTTTTACAATTTGGGGTAAAAAGATGTTTTCTTTCAAACTTACAAGCAGTGGTGATGTGTATCTTTCAAACTATGTAATTTAGACAACAAGCAGACAGACAATTACTTCTCTTAGAATACTGTAGTAGAGATACTCTGATGGGGCTACCAGTAGTTACTCGAGCAAATGCATTTTCTATAAGTTTAAATGACTTTAATGTCTCGGATGTCACTGACGGTTACTTTATGAACTGGAAATGTGTTCCATTCTGCTAGTCCTTCAATCTACATGCACCCCTTTTGTCCAATAAGCATTTCCACACATTTAGACAGCATGATCAAGGTCAACAACCTAATCCCTCATCCTGCTCGCTCATTCATGTCCTGTTCCTCTGTAACATGCCTGAGAAGTGTTTCAACTTTTTTTTAATATGTGTCCCATAATTGTCTTTTTGTTTTTCGCCTTGCCTTGCATGCATGCATGCTTATTTACCGATTTAGGCCTTGTGTGACCCATGAACTCTGGCCGCTGTTGATGTGCTGTTGCTTTCACCGTGAACTCAAAACTCTGTCTAATTAACAGGAAGCGCCGTATGTGATGTACAAGAAAAACTATCTGCAGATGGACGGCAATGACAGATATGAAGGCTACTGTGTCGATTTAGCTTCTGAAATTGCAAAGCATGTGGGGATAAAATATAAGCTGTCGATAGTGCCAGATGGAAAATACGGAGCCAGAGACCCGGACACCAAAACGTGGAACGGGATGGTGGGTGAACTGGTTTATGGGGTGAGTGTCTGCCTGCCTTATTCATTGGTTTTTAAAAGAGAAATTTCACAAGTCAGTAAATGGCAAACCAAATGATTACAATGCTGACCTTCAACCTTCAGAGGTGCTTTGGTTCAACACACCTGGATCAAGTCATCAGGTCATTAGCAGGACCAATTTTTATTTGTTAAAAAAAGTATAAGTGAAAAGCCTTTGAAAGCCATGGAAGTCATCCAGTACAGATTTATGCAATCTTTATTTAATATCAGTCTGTGACAAAAAAAAAACACTGAAATGTGTGTTGGAATGTCAATGTTTTTGTGTTGCATGAGAATTTCTTTTTATAGGAAAATGCTGAACAGTTGATGTAGTCCGGTTTTATCCTAAGGAGTGTAACACTGACTTTCAATCAAGCTTTTATGACTTGAAAATGAAGATTGGAACTGCTCCATACTCTGTCCCATAACAAAGTGTACTTGGCATCGTAATATCAATTATGTTCATGACAAAACGTTATACTTTATCCACTTCCTCCACTATTATGTTCGATGGTCAGCTTCAAGGTGACCGAAGATGTGGCGTTGGTACACTAATAAATTCAATAATGTTAACACATTCCATGAGAAAGTCTGTAGAAGTAGTGACTTCTATGTTAAACCTTTTTGAACTCTGAACCCTGAAATCTACTGCGCGGTTCTTATCGTGCAGCTCAGGAATAACTTACAATTGAACTGGCTCTAAAAAGATGATATGCATATTTTATGAAACCTCAGCCACTGAATGACTAATGTTGGAAATCCAACTCAGAAAAGCAGAATGTAAAAAAGATGTGCATTCAAACTGTGTCCCTGCAGAATTCCTAATCTGGCTCTCTAGCGTCTGCAGTTGTGTCAGTGTCCGTTTTAGTAATTCAGATCGACAGAGATGCCCCTCAGTTGTAATTTAAATGGCTATGAGAAGACCTCTGTATTATTGATACATTTTGTTGCTGTTTATCGGCTCCACAGCTGATGAATAACCAGTGGAAAGCAGCTTTTGACTGACTTCATGTTCAGCATTTGTCAGTTCGGTCTCTAATACTAATTGCATGTCTGTGAGGTTTTACGGAGGATCTTTCAAGGCAGGTACTGGGTTTATGAACTGCTTGCATCAGCTCCCCCTCCTCTGTTTTCCGACTCCCGCTTTGATTCACGACAGAGATTTGGATTGAGACAAAGACATTAACCAACACAAATGCTGAGTGACTCATTTCCAAATGGCAGATTTGCTCCCACTGGCTTTTTAACATGTCTGTTATTCAATATATACTTAATTGCTGCATTTTTGCAGGTCCACGCTTTTTACTCAGTGAATGCATTGTAAAGCTGCATTGGTTTGGTTTTGTGTTTAATCGATATTTCCTTGAAGTGATTAATATTTAAAGCACTGCTTGATTTTTTTTAAATAGTTTCTCCTGCAAGTCTAACTCCCTCCTGATGTTCCTGCTTCCATGTTTACAGAGAGCTGACATAGCCGTGGCTCCTCTCACCATTACGTTGGTACGCGAGGAGGTGATAGACTTCTCTAAACCCTTCATGAGCTTGGGAATCTCTATTATGATTAAGAAGCCTCAAAAGTCCAAACCAGGAGTGTTTTCCTTCCTGGACCCTCTGGCCTATGAGATTTGGATGTGCATAGTGTTTGCCTATATCGGCGTGAGCGTGGTGCTCTTCCTGGTGAGCCGTTTCAGCCCCTATGAGTGGCACTTGGATGAGAACGATGAGGCCAAAGACCCTCAGAGCCCCCCTGACCCTCCGAACGACTTTGGGATTTTTAATAGCCTGTGGTTCTCCCTGGGCGCCTTCATGCAGCAAGGATGCGATATCTCACCAAGGTTGGTTGTTGTGTTTATTCTCCACCGCTTCTCAGATGCCCTTTTCCTATCACATCAACTCATTGCATTTTATAGTCCCGTACATTTATTTCCATCCTGCAGCGGTGCATATGGGTTATTTTGAGCGTTGCTGTCTCTCCTGTCCACTTAACCTCATGCTCCATTCCGTTGCCCTCTCCTCCCGTTTCTCAGAGCAAGAAGTTTTCCTCCTTTGTTCACTCATTTGTTCTGGATCTGCATGCTGGCAGGGAAGACCTCCATCCACAAAATAACTTATATCCACCATACTGAGGGCTGTAAAATGCACTGAGGTCATTGCGATTCATCCAAGACACCAGCTTGAATTCCTCACGATTCTTGGAGGGCTACCGTGTTTTTGCTGCATGTCTCATTTTACGGTCATCATCTTGGCGCATATGAAGTATTTTGTGTGAAAAGAAATCCTCATTGATGTATTAAAAAGACATCATGTTCTGCATTTTCATCCAGTCCTCCATATTTCCACCCATCTATCTCTTCATTTGTTATAACCTTGCTTGTGTTGACTTCTTCTAGAACATTCTAGAAGAAGGATTTAACATATAGTTTTTCTAAATCATTTTAGAAAAAATAAAACAGTAAATAACCAGGTTTATCAGATATTTTCATATTACTTTAGGAATTATGTTTATATTCTTGGGAAAGATGGCAGAGGTCATATGTTTTGTAAAGACAGATGTTGATTCTGTAACTTTGTGCAATTATCAAATAATCAAATTGTTCCATATTTGTTTTTGTTCTTACAAATATGTGACAAACTGTCTTCAAGTTCTCTCTATGCAGATTGGCTTTTATATATTTTTCCTTGATGGTGAGCCATCTTAAGCTAAAATTAGCTGCTTTGGAACAAAAAAAATCTTTGCAGTTTTTAAAAATATTTTAGTTGCTTTTATTTTCAAAGCAACTGAGTGAAACAAACTTGGACGTTTGAACAAAAATGCTAATCAGAAATGCTCAGATTAAAATTTCCAGTTTTTCTGTCAGAGAAGTAATATTAGAAGAAATGAGGATGACTTTCAAGGTATTTCTTTTTCTAACCTCTCTACCGTGGGCAAGCATTAAAAATGTTTATAAACAGTAGAGTCATCATTGTGCTGCATTGTGAATATAGCCACCGTAAAGCAAGGTCTTAATATTTTACTAGTTTTGTTCTTTAGTCGTTCATAAATAACAAACCAAGCCGGCGATTTCATAACGTGTGGATTGGGCCTCAGGTTTTATACGGAGCGTTTTACATAAAGCTGGTGTTTCACCAGGTTTAGATCTTAGTCATTTTATTCTGTTTTCAAATGTCACAGCTACTGAAAGAACTTCCCTTGGCTTAAGTCCGGTCATCTGCGTCGTCTCGGGGCATTTCACACCTTTGAAAACTACCTTGAGATGCAGTCAGATTGAGTTACTGAGACTTGATATTGCTCTCAACAAAAGAATCACATGTCCAGACAGCAGTATTTAGTTGATTGTCAGCATGTTATTAATATCTGCATAGGCCTTCAGTTGTTTATGGGTCAGTACTGATCTGACGGACACAATGGGAAGTGAACCCTTCCTCCTCCTCATGTAGATTTGAGCACTCCGCTCTCATGTCTGCTTCTCTTCCTCCTCCTCATCCCAGGTCTCTGTCTGGCCGTATTGTCGGGGGAGTGTGGTGGTTCTTCACCCTCATCATCATCTCTTCCTACACAGCCAACCTGGCTGCCTTCCTCACAGTGGAGAGGATGGTCTCTCCCATCGAGAGTGCAGAGGATCTGGCCAAGCAGACGGAAATTGCCTACGGCACGCTAGACTCTGGCTCAACTAAGGAGTTCTTTAGGGTGAGTGTCTCAACTGGCAATCCCCACGCTGCGTATAGATAGGCCCGGTCTAACCCTGTGCGTGCCAGAAGCTCAGAGTCTCTTGAGCTTTTCCTCCGGGTTTTGATTTATTACCTGCTACGTAACAGATTGAAGTATAATCAATAAAAAAAAGCCTAGAACTGTATTTTTCTTTTTACTTCTTACAGCACTTTCAAAGTCCAGAAGCCAAAGAAAGTTTTACTACCGTTTCATGTGATTAGTTCAGTTCATCATAAGTGTGGTTTCATGAAGTAAAATTACACTTTACTAAAGGAGAAAACAGCTGAAATAAAATTACAAGCATTTGTCTTGATCAGTGACTTAATTTGTGATTTTCACAGAGCTGAACCTCGGTCCTGCTGTCGTTACCATACAACTAAATGATGATACAAAGTTTAGGAGAGAAGGCCTGCAAACGGCATGTCCGCAATGCATTTTATTCACAATATTAACTTCGGTTTCTTCAAATTAACTTCCTTTTTTTCCCCGTACAATAGGATTATTTCTGCCATGAATCTGGGACAATTATGCTCCCTCATGAGCCTGTCTGTGGAGTCATAAACCAAAGTTTGATTAGCTTTCCCACTAATATGCACACTCATTTCTATTTTACATTTCTCTGGAGTGCTGCTGAAATGCAAATATAGTTATTATACCCACCTCAAACGCGCAGCAACTTGTAAAGGTAGTCGTACAACTTTTTCATATTTTGTCACTTGTCAACTGTGTTTTTGAGGAGTTACAGCTGCAGATCTTTCAGGATATGCTTTGCTCATTTAGATACTGAGATTGATGGACATTTTCTTTACAAAATAGCTCAAGCTCATTTAGTTTGTAGAGAGAACCTCTGGATGTTAGTTTTCAACTCCACACAGATTCTTTGTTTGATTCACATCTGGACTTGGAGGAGATGATTCAATAAAGAGATTTCTGGTCAACTCTGGCCATGCTCTTCACGAGACTGGGAAAGCAGAGTGTCTTCAGTCAGAGGTTTCTTCTAATTCACTGTAATACAGGCCGCTACTGGAGATCTGTCCTGCCAACAACCATCACTATTTAGAACAACTCTTTGAAGAAGAATTAATATGACTTACAACAGCATTTAATTTTTTCTTTGGGATCCAGAAAGTATTTTGAATTTGAATATGCTTTGATTCAAGCATTGCAGCTCTGACTGTATGTTGAGGTCAACATACAGTCAGAGCCTCTAACAGAGCTTCTTTTTGGTTGCTTTGTAGTTTCACCATCCATCTTCTCATCACTAATGTCCTCCAACAAACTTCTAATGACTTCACAGGACAGTTTCATTTAAGCTGAGATATTAAATTGCACAAAAGTAATTAACTAAGGGCCTTGAATATTTTTTCAAGGAAGAGGACAGATGGAATACGCAAAAATGCAATATCTTACTAAATATTGTTTTTATCTAGTTTCTAGTGTAAATACCTTAAGAAAAAAGACAACTTAAAACTAAGTTTTCAGGAAGAAAAGAGCTTATTTTAAAACAATAATTCCATAATGTTGACTTTTAAAGATTTACCTTTTTTTTACTTATAGCTTGGAAAATGTCTTGTTTTAAGTGAAAAAATATGCCAGTGGGACTATTATTTTATTGACTTAAAACAAGCTCCTATATCTTGCTGAAAGGGTATTTGAAAGTTTCATGAACTAAGATGTTTGCACTATAAATTAGACAAAAATCACTCCGTTTTCATCAGTCGCTTCTTCTCATGAAGACAAAGTTTGAACAACTCAAAAAAATAAGGCTAATCTGCAGGCTTCTTTTCACAAAAGTGCTTTCTCACAGATGACGCCATGTTCCTAGGAAATAGAAATGACATTCACATCCAGAGTCCAGCTTAGAGCTGTTTCTATTTTTAGCCCTTGTCGTTCTCGTGGTGTGATTGCTCGGAGTGAGACTGCGACATTTGATAAATAGAAAAGCCAAGCTCTCCTTCAGACACTGGGAGCAATCTGGAGGGCATTTTGCATTGCTTACATCAGTCCACTGGGAGCTATTAAAAAAAAAAATCGCATCTTCTAATCTCCTCTCCGGAGATCCAAACAGCAGGAATGCAGCAGGTTTCTGTCTGTTGGGTTTCATTGTCTGTTGCTGGGTAGAGACAACTTTTCATTTTAATACACAGCCAGTCTCAGAATAATAAAATGAACAAATGCTTTCAAAAACATTCCAAGAGAGAATTAATTTATTATTATTATTTTTGATAAAGGAGCTCCACTTAGAGAGGAAATGAGTTGGTAGGGATGTGACTACTTGTAACATCACTGTGACTCAAAGCCTTTAATGAAGGCATTCAAGCAGAATGAATTTAAGTGCCAAAGTTAGCCAAGTTCTGAAGGAATGACCTGAAGCATTGTTTATTACAACTGTGTAAAAGAAAATGTAACTTATACATTACTGACACGTTTTAGTCTGTAAATCGCTTTTGTTTGTTTTTGTTGGACTTTTCCTCACAGTTGGAAATTAAATATTTTAGAGGCTTCTTAATGACTCATCCCACTAAATCAGCTCAACAGGCAGCAGCTGAAGTAGGGAATTGCTCTAATCAAGGGTCTGTTTGGCAAGATGTGGGTTATTAAAGGTCCTCATGAGCAGATAATTGACAGACATGTTGTGACTTTGTCTGGAACGAGAAGAGTCAGTCAGTTTTTTCCGCCAGACTGGGAGATTCGAAGTTATAAGAAACAGTTTTTGAATTTAGGAGATCTAAAGTCTCATGATTGATAGCAGCTATGAAATTTCATGGTAATTATCAAGGAAGACGCTTGAGTTAATGCAGATAAATCATAGGGCTCTGCGTGCATAATAAATGGAAATAACTAACATGGTAATTTCTCTGTGACTTTTACTTTTCACCACGGTCTTTAAAGGGGATTTTTTTTTTTTAAACCACAGGGTTTTATGAAGCTTTGAAGTTGTAATTTAGCCTCTGTGGGGTTTAAACGTTTTACATGTCGTGTCTTCTTTAAACTACATGTAATGTGTGACCTTTCATCCTTTTTGACACTGTTAAAAACTCCACAGTGAAATTTTCCAAATGAATAGAAACATAGTCAGGAATCGCATACCATGACATCAGTTTTTCAAAACAGCGAAGGCGATTATTTTAACGCCTGTTTGGAATCATAAATGGCGGAACCTGATCTTACATAACGATGACAAAGTCAACACGACAGGCTTTACATAAACTATGATTTACCTACTGAGTTTTCTCTGACCGTGTGCATGCAGTAAATGAGTTCTAATTCATAATTAACATGCGTGTAGCTAGTCGTTGCTACCAGATAAATATTTAACTTCAGTAGAAAGCGTGGCAGCCTTGTTTGGGCTGTCGTCTCGGTTTTTGTTTGGATAGCGTGACAAACATACACAGCGCCATGAATCACTCTCATCTCTATCATCTGCTGACAGACCAACTTGGAGCTGCAGGAGAAGAAAGCAGTTCATTTCCTCAATGGTTGACTAGATGTAGACATAAATTTTGCTTTTGCCAGAGGCTGTCAGCAGTTTGTCAGATCCCACATTGAGGTTCAGTCAGGTATTAATTGGAAATATTTGTCAGTCGCTTTGTCGCTGCAAAAAACAGCGGCTGCGAGGAAATTTCTCAGCAGTTGTCCTGAGTCTGACGGCTCGAGGAGTCTTGCGGTTTTCCACACAGATGACCATCCTGCCCCTGACAAGCAGTTCATCTTTATACGCCGCAGAACGAGAACTGCTGTTTTCACACTGTGGCCAGGCCCTGTCATCAGCCATTATTGTCATGTGAGGTGTGTTTACATGCACACTTCACTGCACTGAAATCGTGCATATGTCAAGAATGATTCACTTACTAGCCCGAGCCCACAATCCATTACATGTCTGATGAATTATTTATTTTTGCCGTGCACAACACCGAGCTGCCATGGTTTGTCAGCTCACCCGGATGTTTTCATTTGCTTTAACCTACGAGACGTGATGTCGGGCTGACTTATGCCGCAACCTGGATGAAAACAGGACGTGGTTCCTCTCCATCAAACGCTTCAAATGAACTAGCAAATATATGAGACCCTCTGATTAGCAAAAATAAAAAATGCTGTCATATGTTAAAATATGAGAGGACTCAAGCTTATGTTAACTCTGTGGCGCATCTCCTCCTCAAGAACAGAAGGTCACGTTAGCCCAGTTTAAAGCAGCCTCTTTATTTTCTCCTCTATTGTAGACAGCTGTGTACTCGTGCTCCCCAGTGACCGGCGATCAGCCTCTCGCTGGCCATTTTTAGCAGCGTACTGAGTGTCATCGGGGTTGTGCTGTGCACGTCTGTAGCAGCTCCAGCTGGCAGCTGACTAGGCCACAGAGGTGAAGCTGTCAGTCTCAGAGTGGAGGGGTCAAACATGTTAAAAGACGACTGCCCTTAGAAAACAATGCTGGAAACTGCAGAAACGTTGGGGGTTCAAACTTGACTTAACATTTGGCATGGATTCAATGATATGTGCTTGTATCAAAATAGGTCTGAACTGAGTAATTATCAGGAGTTTAAAGAGGCGGTATTATGCAGAATCAACTTTCAGAAGCTTGATGATGTTTTATAATTTTGATCATGTTTCACACAGGTATGTGTTTTATTCCCTCATAAAACACAAACCTGGAGCTTTGCTTTGACTCATTCTTGCATGTTTTAAGAAATCCTTAAATTTCTCGCCTATTTTCCCAGGGCTCCTTCAGACTAGTGGCAGCAGCTGAGCTGAAACTGCAGAGCTCATCCTATTAACTACAACGCTCCTGAAAGCATTTATTAATGGCAGGGAGACGCAATGTCATAATGACATATTGAAGGGGTAGTGTCAGAAAGGATGGTAGGTTCTCAAAGAGATAAGAGGTCCAATTTCAAGGAGTCAGAAGCCAAATTTCTTTTAAACTGAGCTTTTAAGCAACAATATTCTTGTAACAACTGAAGGTAACATTTTGTGGGATAAAATGACACTGTATACTTGGAAAATACCTAGATATTACTAAGATTATCACATTTCCAACCAGTTCTTTAAACTTTTGCATGGCACTTTCTGTCATCATTTTCTATTGAAACCTAAAGTTCACCCCTTACTTTATAATTGGTAAACGATACAAAGTTGTTCCAACCAGCAAAATAATATCTGACCCAGGCTGATCTTGCACTATACATGCTCTTGTCTTTTACCAGTTAGGAGGAAACTCAGATCCGAGCGGTTGAAATTCACAATGGCGTTGCACAAATAAGCTACTTGAATGTCGGCTTGCATGGTGGAGTCACAATCAATAGGAAAAAACACTTGAAAACATCAATCTGTGTATAGTTAATCTATTTATTAATGTTGCTAAGTGAAATGAGTTCTTGAAATAAATGTAGTAAATCTGACCGTTCATCACTTGGTAAAGAATGTCAGATTTGTCAGGGTCAGATACAAGATGGCCAGAAAAACAATAATGAAAATTTATTGCCGTCATACACTACAAAAATTTTCCTAAGGATGTTTGTTGGATATCTACTAGCCTACATGTTCATGGTGCATTTTAAGCTGCACTTTAGAACAAGATAAATGCACTGTGTTAAAATATAAAAACTTCTCACGCACGGTGCAGGCACATGAAAAACTCTCCTCAGACAAGGACGCCATGAATAATTGGCTTTAAAAAAATATGAAAATGGAATGATTGTGTCACCAGCTGTCACCTGCTGGCGGAGCATAAACTGAGACGGGGGAGGGCTCATCTGCCCATTAATATTGATACTAAACAGGGTCTGGAGTTTACTTCTGCTGAGCTGCCAGATTGTCCGACTTCAGGCTGCTGGCAAAAAGCCCACTATATCTCTGCCGTGTGCTTTGCATTCAAACGGTGAATCCTCTCTGATGTAAAAGAGAGAGAGCGATAACTGTCAGGCTAATGTATGCAGAAATGTTCAAGCGCATTGCTCGTCTGGCTTTGACCCGATCCGTGATATCATGGCATGGTGTTAATGATTTGGAAAACCTGCTGTCATACCGGTGACCTCAGTGGGGTCACGAGGAGCAGCTTTGGTTTAGAGCTGCTTGTAATTACTAGTATGGACTTTCAGAATTATGCTGTGAGAGGTGAATAGAAAATTGATTATGTGTGAGCCAGTGTGTTAAGTGGGGAGCTAACATATGTAGTCAGAACCTCAGAAAGGTGACATTAAGGGATCAAACCCACCAAATTTTTTTTTTTTTTTTTTACAATTTCTTTGTATAACCCCAATTTCTGCCTTTTGAAATAAAAAAACAAATAACACTTGCAGAACCAACATAAGAAAAAACCCAGATTAATTTCATGTTCATATATTGGTAAACATTAATGTATATGTATTTTGTGAAAGTCTTTACTGGATTTCTCACGGTTTGACCTTCCACAGTCCAAAAATCACGCATGTCTAACTGCTGATGCTAACATTCCTCAGATAGACATGATAGACCTTTTTCACGCTTCCGGGTTTGAAAGTGGATGTGGGGTTGGACAACTTCCGGTGGCTATAGCGTTAGCATTAAAAGGCTGGGAAAATGGCTCAGTCTCGGTACAGATGTTTTTTTTCAGTTCCTGGTTGTTCATGTGGGGCAAGAAAACAGCCATATCTGTCATATCATGCGTTCCGATGGTCCCGGACCAACGGAGGCAGTGGATCCAGGCGATCCGAAGAGATGAAGGTCCGGACTTTTGCATAAAGACGGGGAGCACTTTAGTATGTAGCCACCACTTCACACCGGAGGATTTTGTTAGCGGATCCACCACCAGCCGCCTTAAAAGTGGAGCTGATCCTCCCCTGTTTGCCTGGAATAACTTCACTGCACCGGCAATGAGAGAGTCTGCTTTCGAGAGGGCGAAGAAACTTGCAGACAATGAAGATGCATAAGTTGAGCAAGTGTGGGCACAAAGCACATATTTGGAAGACTATGCAGCATCAAAGGAAGAGCCATGTGGTGCAGAATGATGCTCCCAGAGGATTTTTCAGGTGGGCACTGATAAGTCATTGGTGAGCCCTGTGGCACAGGCCCAAATTTGGATGGAACCAGCTCCAAATGTGAAAGACCATCTAGGACAAGAGCGATAAGTGGTTGGGACTCCAGCTGGCGTAGTTTTTCTCCTGATGCCAGAATGTCGGGATCTGGAAGTGGTCCTACAAACATCAGTGACATAATCATAATAAATTTTGACAAAGGAAACATACGTGTAAAAGCATAAACCAAACGTTATACCTCTGTTAAAGTGTGGAGTGCAGATCTTTTCCCCATAGTTTTGGGCTTCCGAACCACCATGTTGCTGGCAGGTTCAGGATGTTTCCCCTTACAAGAAATACACACAGAAAGATGTCAAACTAAAGAACAAATGAATGGATGAGTGAGCAGTTTGTGTTTTTTGTGATAACTTTGAATGACAGCTCCAGATTTGTGTGACAGTTTCCATGCCGTTCATCAACTAAAACCTCCCCTCTCTTCTCTCCTTCTTCTTTTGAATGCAGCGCTCCAAAATAGCCGTTTATGAGAAAATGTGGTCGTACATGAAATCGGCCGAACCCACCGTGTTTGTCAAGACGACACCGGACGGGGTCTCCCGGGTCCGGAAGTCGAAGGGCAAGTTTGCCTTTCTGCTCGAATCCACAATGAACGAGTACATAGAGCAGCGGAAGCCCTGCGACACCATGAAAGTGGGCGGCAACCTCGACTCTAAGGGCTACGGTGTGGCCACACCTAAAAGCTCAGCATTAAGGTGGGTGGGATAATATAACAATATCCTCTTTGTTGTTATAGTATTCCACCTACCCTGATGTTTCCTTTTTGTCATACTCTTCTTCCTCACTCCTTAATTCTTCTATTTTGTTTCCAAGTGCATCTCTAGGTGAACAGTATTATGGGTTATCTGAATTGAATCAACACATTTATTGTCTTGTCCTTTGTTTCTAGTTTGACTGTGTCGTTCTTATTGTTTTGTTCCGAAACGTTATGGTATATGACTCACTTTCTGTGTCTCCACTTGGTGCAACACCACCTCCTCTTGATCTTTTTTTTTTTTCAGTTTCTCCTACAAGCTCTCCTCTTTCTTGTTGTCTGTGGTGCTCCTTTTTTGTCTTTTTTTTATTTATTTCGTTTTGCATTACCCCCTACTTTAATTCTGATTTATTCCTGAGTCATTTTTGCTAGTTTTACATGCTGGTCTGTCAGTTGTGATGAATGTTAAGCTGCATGCTGGATGTTTTTTTTAATACTTACGTCAACAATGACAGAATGTCCCCATCCCGCACACTTCAGTTACGAGCAATGTAACCCTCCATGCCACCTCTCTAATATTTGACATTTCGTTTTGCTGTAAAAGTGCTTTTTATCCCTCCACTCCTGTGGAACTCTTTTACCAATTTGTCCCTCCCGTGCTACCCTTCTGAACCATTGATATTGATCACTATTTCCTACTAATTATTTCATATTAGATTTCTCACGGACCTGTTCATTTTCTTACAAGCTATGTTTTATCGTTTCAAGAAATGCTGTTAACCTGGCAGTGTTAAAACTGAATGAGCAAGGCCTCTTGGACAAATTGAAAAACAAATGGTGGTACGACAAGGGAGAGTGCGGCAGCGGGGGAGGTGACTCTAAGGTCAGCCTCGATGTCACCAAAATCGGGTATCCTAGAACAGAGTAATCGGCAAGGCTGTCGTCACTGACTGCAGAACCAGGGGCCAAGCGCCCGCTGACGTATAACTGATTAAAATAAAAATAAAAACAGCCTAAAAGGTTGTTTTAGTCATCCTTTTAATCTACACCTGTGATCACGTGGGAACCCTTTACTTGGCTAATGGAGGAGGAAAGAAAAGTTTGTGAAAAAACCATAAGTTTTGTGATGTAAAAGTACGATAAGCAGTGTTTGTGACTGAGTAGCAGCTTGACCTGTGGTTATGAAAGGCGGAAACGACGTTTTCCTCCGCTTTTTATACCCACAGGCCAATCAGGAAGTCTCTGTATGTCTCTATGTGATGAACGCCGGTTGGAATCCACTCTCCGATCTGCCGCCTCAGAGTTTAGGGCAGGCACGGGAAACAGCGTTGTCTTGAGGGGACTAAGCATCTCAGGCAAACGTGAGAATTCTAATGACAGAGTGACAACTAACAGGACAAACTTTATTTTTGTCTTTATTTTTTTTTTTATTTCCTCTAACATCTTCCCACCTTTTGCTTGGTCTGGATCTAAGACCAGTAAAAGTCTTTCCATGGCCACTCTCACCTGGTAAAAACCTGCTGTTGTGAAGAGAAGTGCCAGAGGGGTGTGAAGGGATTTGATTTGATTTGATTATCCTCTTGTCAGTAACATGTTGTCTCCAGTTATGGTAAGCAGCAGAAAACTGTGAGACTATACAACCTTTGCTAACTTATCCCATCCGGCAAAAAGCCCAAAATGACACGACTAGTTTAATTTGTGTTTTTTTGTGACACTGGTACATCTTAATGAATTATTGATAACTTACTTAATTCAGTAAAAGTGAAACCTTGTTAAATTTACTCTGCACTGAATTATTGTAGATATTTCAAATATTTATTCCTGTTAATTTTGATGATTATGTCCTCAAAGTTCAATATACAAATTAAATATTGCATAGAACTGACAGAAAATGGACCTTTAAAAACAGAAAAACAATCACATTGTCCAAGCATGGTTATCAAAGTTGTGTGGCTGAGAAATGTGTGACAGCAAAAGTTGCACAAGCCTTTAGCAGGTTGTGAAACAAAATCCATTCATGAGTTTGGGAGATATTTTCAGTTTGTGTCAGATCTTCACTCTTCTGAGGTTTTTAAACTTGATGCAATTTCTCCATCTTCTCTCTGTGCCTTTTCATTGTCTGAATTACTTTGAATAAATGCCAATAGCCACAAAAACTGCAATAACATGCCACTTTTGAACCAGAGACAATGTTAGCAGCCTCTTAAAAAAACTAAGGAGAAAAAAAGGACTTGATTTTCTTTCAGAGGTTCTCTTTTCAGATGAAAATAAATGTTGCATTTGATTTGAAAATCAAGGTCTTAAGAGAGAGGAACAGAATCCATGTTGCTTGAAGCCCAGTGTGACGTTTCCACAGTCAGTGACGATGTGGAGAAACCACGCCATCTGCTGGTGGTCGTCCACTGGGCTTTATCAAGGCCAAATTCAGCACAGGAAATTTTAGAGCAGCTTCCCACACAGCCAAACAAACTGAAACCTTCTTTGATGGCCAGGATATCACTGAGCATGACTGACCTACCGTGTCTCCTGACCCTAACCCCACAGAGAAACTAGGAGGCTTTGCTGAGAGGAAGATGAGAACAATGCAGATGAGCCGATGACCAATATTAAGTCTTCAGCAGAGCCATAGACTGGCAGCAATTCATGGTAAAGGAGCCCAGATCAAGAATCTGGTGCTTATACTGTAGGATCGGGGTGTCCAGACTTTTTATCTGACAAATTTAACCTACTGGTGGGCCAAAAAATAGATTAAATTTAAAAATGGTCTGCTTTTTCTTCATTTTACTTGCTAAAATTTAATTTTTTTTAAAGATGAAATCTGTATATTATTAAATATCTAAAACATAAATAGGGCTTCAGAATGTTGCCTTATTGGAAAAAAAGAAGAAAAAAATGACTTTCTTTGGTCATTAATTGTTTTCTATTTTATTCGTCAAATTTTTACCGTACTGTATGTGTGATCAGGGGCCAAACTAAATCATTTCAAGGGCCACAAATAGCCCCCAAGCCACACCTTGGACACCTCTTCTGTAGTTTTTAGTAGGCTGACTTTGTCATAGCAATATATATTTAGAAAATATAAATATTTAGCATAATATTTGCTTTTATGTATTATCTTACGTAATAGCATTTTTTTTGTTTACATCATCAATTACATAACTTTTTCATGATACTCTTAATTCATTGAGATGTACCAATAAATGTCGTACTGAGTAAATAGCTCCTATAATTAAAATTTTATATTTCCTTTTGACATTTAATGTAAGAGATGAACTTCTATTTTTGTGATTTTTCTTTTTCCGTTTGTCATGCTGCGAGCATTTCTTAGATTTAGTAGCATGATGCCGTCCAGGAGCTCGGCCCTGCGGAGCTCCTCAGATCTTTTCCCACATCAGAGTCATTTTGACGACATTAAACCCCCTGCCCTCCTGTTTTATACATCACACTGGTACCTCTGAGTTCATGTCTGCTCTCCAGCTTGCATCATGACAGCAGTACCATCAAAGAGGAGAGCAAGGCGACTTTGCTGCCATTTTCTGCTGATATCCATTTCTGAGTGAGCAGGGTATGGAAGCTACCAGAGAATAACACGAAGACGCCTTCCTCCTCTTACTTGGCTCGGCGCTTTTTTTTTTTAGGCATGGTTGGAAGGAGACGAGACGATCAGTCAAACTGTACCACATGTGACTGCCACGTTTCCGTTCCCTTATTTCGCTTTCAGAAAAGCGTGTGTGTCATTTAGGAAGGAAAGGAAAATATATTGTATGTAACAACCACTGATGCCAAAGAAAACCCAAAAACCCACGTAAGAAAAATCTGAATCTAGACAGAACGCTTAAAATCCTGTTTCTGTCCCCGTTTCCTTCAGTCTTTCAACGAATGATTTTGAAACATGTACCGGACTCTCCTTGTGCTTATTCGACTATTTTTGTGACTTTGAGTCGTCGTTTTGTCTGCATGAGCTGTTTCGTGTTTGTGTGGACGGTCTTGCGTGTTTTCGGACTCCATTCTCCTCCCCTTCCCGCGTTCCTGTTTTGCAGACAGACTGGAAGGTAAAGTTATGACTTGGCATTCTTGCGTCAAATCAAACTCCTGTGCAAAACACACGACAACAAACGTGCTCTTTTTGGCACTTAGATTTTATATGATGCAATCCAGCCATCCTCAAAATAAAATAAAAAAGACAAAGGAAATACAGTCTTCACATAAAAATGGTAACATATGTCGCTTTTTTCCCCATCACAATATTTTGCAATTAGGATTTTTTTATTAGTTGAACCTTGAATCTGTTTGTAGACACATCAGTAAAGTAAAACTTTAATCTTTGCAATTAATAGAAGGATTTTAAAAATTTTTTTTATTGATAACATTTTTCCCAAAATAAACAATATGATAGAGTTTTGATTGCATTCAAAAGGGTGAGGGGAGTGCAAAATGACACTTTTTAAGACTTTTCTACCCAAGATTAGGTTAATTAATTCTAATTATAATAGTAATTAGAATTACAATACAGATTTTGTGTAAGGTACACAGTGCCATACCGCATTGCAAACTGATGTCTTAAAGTTTTATCAATCAAAGCTTCATCTGTTTGAATCCATTAACCGTAGTATGGAAATGTAAAAAGTAAATATAAAAGTGTTGTAGTCTATACCAATTACTGACAGCTGCTGAGATGTTTTTTTTTTGTGTGTTTGTTTGCTTTTGCTCCCCTTAAATACACTTATACAAGTTTCCTTATTTTGGGTCATTTTTCTAACTTGGTTCAGTCTAAAATGATCTGATCCAACTGATGTGGATTTTAAAAAGGCATTTTAAGTCACGGAAAACCTGAAGATTCTTCTCATTTCTTCCCTTTGCCATTTCATATTGTCAGACTGTAAATTGGCTCATTTTGTGCCAAACTTTTTCAGGTCCCAAAAGAAGACGTCCGCTGTGCCGATCTTGAATCAGTTCTTACATTTTTTTTTTTTTTCGGGGGTGCTCAATACCAACTTTGAAACCTGATGACTTATAGCAGTGTTTTATAATCTACTCACGGGAAATGTAGTTATGTGAGTCCGTCAGACGATGCCTCCCAGCAGGAAGTCGCTCAGATGTGGTTTGGTTTGACCAGTTTACAGTTTGTCATTTTCAATTAACGTCAACCGGCTAATAATCATTGGAAGCCTGGATGGTGTAATATGACATTTATAGAACATAATATCCAATTAAATTATACTTGTAGCATTATTTATGTCCATATTTCATCTAAATTCAACATATTTAAAGAAATAAACTGATATCCAGTGATTATGGTTTTTGTATGGAGAGAGCTGGATGCAAATTGATGAATAGGGAAACTGGAAATAATAGAGCTGTAAACGGGTGGCTGTAGATTTTTTGTTTTAGTTTCTGGTACAATCAGTATCACGACCAAAACAGCGACTATAACAGGATTCATGTTTTTTTTTTTTTTATCATGTTGCTTTATAAGAAGTTAGCAGATGGCTGGCCGAAGGCATTAAACGGCCCGTCCTGACCCGATAATCTCACATTTAAAATGTTTTATTATGAATTTAATTTGTTGCTAATATTATTTTTATTCATAGTTCATAAATTAATATCTATGCTTGCATAATTGAACTCCTAGCATCTTTTTTGTTCCCCATCTGAAAACATTCTGGGAACAAGAGTCTGAAAACACAATTATTTTTTTCATTCTCAGTTTCCTCCATTCATATTTATTTACACTTGAAAATGTATATTGAAACTACATATTTGTCAGACTTCTTTAAAAGCTTTGCAGGAGTTCTTGTTTCAGTACGTTTTAATGAATGTAATCCAAAAATGTCTTCAACCACAAACTGCCATACTTATAGTCTTACGTACAAATTTGCTGATTCAAATAAATCAACATAAAAACTCCTCTTATGAGTTACTTTGAAGAACGCGGAAAAAGCTATGAGATTCATATTTCACTTTGTGCTTTCAATTCTGTCTGCTGCCACTAAAATTGTCATAGATGAACTTTTCTTTCTTCTGACTGGAAACCAGGATGAAACGCCTCCCTCCCTTTCCCCTTCGATTTCCATTACAAAACAGGCTCTGTCTGTTCAACTCCAGAAACACAGTGGTGAATACAATATATTTGATTTGAGATTATAGACACTGGAACCTTTTCTGAGAGGAAATAGGCCTGGAAATGGAGCAGTTGAAGCTTGAGCGTAATGTCTCGCAGAGCAAGTTGACGTCGTCCGTTTCTCTCCGTTGTGGAGCGGCAGACGATTCGATCAGAAGAGCAAGCCAAACCCACATTTGCAGAAACACCTTTTGGGGTCGCTCTCCCTTTCAAACGGGTCAATCTGCGAGACGTTAATCTCAATCAGAGTTGATGTAATTATCGGACTGCTGTTATTGCCTGTTAGTCAGGAAAGGGTTCCTGTTAGATCCACTTTGCCAAACGGCAACAAAAGGCTCCCAAACAGCCACAAGAAGTCCTCTCAGCAATCATTGCCTCTGTTTCTCCTTCATTCTCTGAAAGCTACGCAGCAGCTGCTTTATTCTGCACAGTTTAACCTCTTCTGTTCTTGTGATCAGTGTGTGCCGATTACTCAAAGCGATACAGGTGGGGTCTGGCTTTGCTAGGTTAGCCATGGATGGTGAAAGTATTTTACTGCTATACAATGTAGTGCTGCTTGCTATCTGTGACATGTTGGCCAGGACCCTACTCTATCGCTTTGTACAGTATAAAGTAGTTTAAACAAGTTGAATAACATAAAATAACATATTACAATGTTATTTATGTTATTTCCCACGTGAAGAACTCCTGTAAACCTTGCAGTATTGAAACTCAGTGAACAAGGCATCTTAGACAAGCTGAAAAACAAATGGTGGTACGATAAGGGTGAATGTGGAACCAAGGACTCTGGAAGTAAGGTCAGTCGCTGCAGGTCTTTTTATACTGATGGCAAAAATGCATTTTACCTTCACTGTTCATATGCAGACATTTAGAGCATACATCCTGAGACATGTTGGCATGAAACACAGTCACAAAGACTAGATTACCTCCACACGCCGCAGTTTAGGTCATTTACACACCAGGGCACTGATGCTTTGCTTTAACTCCACGCCATTACCTCTCTGTGCAAACACATAAAACCGCAGCATGATTTACACACAGTTTGTATTCATCCCATTTAACTCTTAAAAAGTTTTAACGCCAAGAACTGAAACCATTGTACTGCTATTTCTCATCCAAACTTCTATTGAAATTTAGATTTGCTGTTGGTCTTATTCATTTGTATGTGGAGTTGTTGTGAAACCCTTTGACAAAAAAAGGAAGAAAAAAAAAAAACTTGGGCTGCTGTGCAGAATGTTTCAAAACTGAATTAAAACCAGAAATTCATTATAATTATAAGGAATTAACATAGCAACATGTTTTGTAAAAAGAGGGACAAGTAATGTTTAGTGGTAGTTTCACTAGGGAGCATCTGGGTGGTTGCCCAGGGTGGCGCCAGAGATGGGGCACAGATTTGTCTGGAACCTCCATAGTTGGAGTTTTTGGTCGTTCCTTTGTCCCTCTCCTCTTAGCGATGACATGATTGTCACCAAAAATAGTTCTACAATGCAACCTCATGTGTATTTGCACATGAATGTTTCCCTGAGCTGCGTCTGATATTTATGAATAAATCAGGAGCAATGGCGGCAACTCTGATAACACCCTGTTTGTCAAATGAAGGACAATTTTTTAGCGTCCCGTCTCTTCTTTTTGATATGTTGCTAAAAATGTCTAAGCTATTTTCAACAATCTCTATGTTATTGAAAAAGAAATAGGTTAAATTCTTCCCTTTTCTGCATTTTTTGCAGCTGCCCAACTTTTTTTGAACCCAGAAAAGGTCATTGTTGCCCTGACAAAACCAAAGTGACCCTTAAATAGCAAGCGAGTGGCTCGGAGGTATTTAATGGTCATAACGTGACGTATGATGAATTGTCAGAGTAACAAACGTTTTTCTTACGCATTTTCAATTATCATAAAATAACTAGTTTGCACACAAGTAATCTGACTTTTACCACATAAAAGCAGATTTAACTGGTTTTGGAACCGTCCCATTGGGTTTAAATGCAAATGGTAACACTTTCAGAAATGAATTTCAATCTTACCGTTTGGCTTTTAATAGCAGCAAAATGGTTCAGTTCCCCTTTTTTACAGCTTGCTACTCTGACTGTACAGATGCAGTGATGTCAAGGTTGAGTTCAGCAGCTATGCTAGTAAATTGAAGCTAATCTGTAGACCTGTACGACCACGACCGCCTTCCTCTATGTGTGGCCTCGTAAAGAGACCATAAAGCAGGATAGTCGACAAGTCTGTCTACATTCACCTTCTCAGATTGATTAAGAGGAGGAGGTCTGTACATGTACTGTTTTTAGTCAGATTAGGCAGATATACTTCAGGATGTCTATACACACGTTTAGCGACCTCCTCAGAGTAACTGCTAGAGGTAGAGCAGCAGTGTTCATGTAGGATTTGTGCCTCTCAGTGTCCGTTTAAAACCCCTTAATGGTGGTCTGTACCTCCCCCAGGACAAGACAAGTGCATTGAGCCTGAGCAACGTGGCAGGCGTCTTCTATATTCTGGTCGGGGGGCTCGGCTTGGCTATGACCGTTGCTTTGATAGAGTTCTGCTATAAGTCACGGCAGGAAACCAAAAAGCTCAAGCTGGCGAAGAACGCCCAAAACTTTAAGCCAGCCCCTCCAGCAAACGCCCAGAATTTTGCCACATACCGTGAAGGCTACAACGTCTACGGGACGGAGAGCGTGAAAATCTAAAGGGTAGGTCGTCCGTCGCTCCTCGCGTTCAGGGGTCTGGAACCGGCAACTGGAGACGTTTTGACAGGATGTAACAGATTTGTTTTTTCCTTCCAAAGAGAGTCGAGGTTCGTTTATCTTCCCATTAATTACGACCAGATGAAAAGCGCGCTCACAGCACGGTGTTGTGTTCATTAGTAATGTTGAGTTTCAGGGTTTGCATTAAATTGATAATTTTTTTAAAATTTCACACTTTTCCAGACTACACAGTTTTCCTAATATTTAAGAAGAAAACTCATCTTGCATGCATTGCCACAAACTTAGATTAGCCCCTTTTTTCTAGAAAAACCTCAACATGAAACACAGATTCTTTTCCTTTCAGTGTCTGTGGGTCCTTAATTTGATTAGTATAAATAGAATATAATGTTTTTTTTTGTCTATGCACGATGTCCTCGAGTGTCTACAGGCGCCCAGAAATAAAACGAATCATTATAATGGTGATGAAACATCTGCTTGTTGCTGGTGATGAAGCAACATGACAAGCAAATGGAAGCACATTAATAACAATAAAAACAAAGGAGAAGTTTTAATGTCACTTAATGAAATGTGGGCATTTGCTCTTCAGACAATGTATGGGTCTGAACTGACCTGTTTTGTCTGCTAGAAATAGCATTTTTAATTAGAAGATTTCACCATTTTCCGTTGTAATATCATCAGCTGACTCTGACCACTTTTAGATTATTTTCCTCGATTTGTCTCCTCTCTCAACTAAACTGAAAAGATCGTCCCACCGGCTGGGAATTTGAGGCGCCGAAATGATCTACACGGTTTTTCTGTTTCGCAGGTGATTCTCAAACCCCGCTGGTGCATCAAGGATAGAAAGAGCCACTCCGACACGTGACCCATGACCCCGACAACCCTCCACCCCCTCGAAGGTGGGCATCCAGGAAGTGACACCTTCCTGGTCTTCAGCTTGGACTCGAGCCAATAAGTCAACAAGCGCTCATTTGGGGTTAGGAGCCGTCACACTAACAGAGGGCAATCACACACATCCGGACTTCTGTTTGCGGGAACATGGGAATTGCCTCTTGTAGTGCCTTAAGGAGCATTTTGGCGTCATGGCAATGCAGATCCAATTAAATCAACTTGATAAACAGAACAAAACAAACAAAAAAACAGGAAATCCACGGAAACGGCGGCGATTGGATAAGAAACGGCTTCATCTAGATGGACTGGTGTAATTATTACTGTTTTATATTTTGAAGATGGCAAACAAAAAAAAAGCCATGGTTTGCAATGAAATCCCTGAGGTACTCAAGTAATTTAAATCCTTTAAAGAGATATTTTTGTGGTGAAACCTTAAGTTGGATAAATGTTATGTTTAGTGAGGTAAAGTCCTTTTCTTGTGTTATTATAAGGATATTTGCAGTGTCAGAACATTTAGGACAAGCATCAGCAACAATAAGGTTAAGGATCAGTTGAACTGGCAGCATTTTCTACCAGTTTTATTTATTTTTGTAACTCCAATTTCAACACGTCATGCTTGTGTACACCTGAAACAGTTGGGATGGTGTTTGTTTCATAGCCTGCCGGACTTTCAACCTACTCTGTATTTACTTGGATGCTTGTTTTAAATCAAGTACGTCATTTGTTTAAAACTGCCACTTTTGGAAAAAAGAAAAAAAAAAAAAATTTCTACCGAAGAGGTCGGCTTGTTTTCACTTTGCGCCGCGTTACTGAGGTTGAAACAGTTCCCAACTCTTTAGATGAAAAGGAAAAAGACCCCGTTTTATGTAACAGAGCATTAAAGACGATTTTAAAAGAGCTCATGGTTTACACTTTGTACACATCTCAGCACCGCTCTCACGTCAGCGTGGTTCCCATCGAACGGTTTTGGTTAAGCGGCGTTGTGCCGCAGCTTCTTTTGGTTGTGATGAGCTTTCTGTGCGACGAATCGAACATTTGTGCGACTAAACTCTCTGCAGTCCGTAGGGAGAGGCTGACATGAACCATTTGCGCCTACACTTGTTTGATAGCTCTTTTTCATCCTTTTCATAAAGTGCATGTGAATTTGGTGGTAGTTTAATCAAATAGCGACTCCAAACGGACCCTCGGTCTAGTCGGCTCTAAAATGACTTTTAGTTTGATTTTAGGGGGGATTTTTTGGGGGGTTAATTTATTGATGCCTCAACCATGAGAGTTGCATGTATGGACACAAACCTCTGTGTAGAGGTCCTGTACAAAGGATTTTATTACATTTCCTTAATAAAAGAAGCTTTATATTCAGCTTTGGGATTTTTTTTTTATGCTACAAATCTCGACGTGTTTTAAAAGGTGCACATTATTGAGGTGAAGAAATTCACCTCAACAAAGAATGAGAGCACAGCATCTTGCACACGAACCCATCTGCTGGGACTAATTATTACATTTGGGCTTTTGATGGTTTATTTGAAGATTTTGGTGCTGTACTTGAGGATTATTTTCCAGTTTGCAAAGTCAAGAGCTTTCATCAAACTTCAAGCATAAAAATACAGCCTAACTAATGACTGGTTGAATGTTCCTAATCAAACTACACCCAAAACATGTTTTTTTTTACAGACACCAACATGGTTCCTGCGTTAGATTGGGTTCATTTAAAGTGTTTTAATTATCTGGCATCGACCCGAAGGTGTGTTAGTTAACACTTGAACCGCTTTGGACGACTCAATGATGAGTTTAGATGCATGTTTGACATCAAACATCCAATTATGGTCAAACTTTATCCGTCCCAGATTGTTGCCCTCAGGTGAAGGAGCCTGGGTGTAAAAACAAAACCTCAGAGCTCGGAAAGCAAATCCAGCTGCAGCTCAACATGGACCGAGACATAAGTGCCCTGATTGAGCCACAATCTGGTCACGACGGCAAGAAATTATATTGGACAGATAAAAGTGAAGCTTTGAAATGAGATCACTGTCAAACACGGTGGTGGCAGCATCACAATGAGGGTCCAACAACTATTTCCTGCTTGTTAAATCTTTGATGTCCTTGTTGCATATTGATAAGGATCCAGACAAATCTGCAGAAAACAGATTACACTTTCAGAGCGTCTCCAACTCACAAAGAAAAAACAGAACTATTTAAGAATTTTTTCTGACGCTCGTTGAAAACTGCAAAAGCTGTGTGGCACCGATACAAGGCACTAGTGAACAAATATCAGTAGTGTTGAATGTGCAGTGTATAGAAAATGTTTTGGATTTATTTCAGATTAGAAATTCTTTAAGGCAAGACAAGTAACCCACAGAAACCCCATAAAAAGGAAAATGTGAAGAGCTATTTTCTCTTACTTATACAGTTCATACTTTTAGAAAAGAAAGGTTTAATTACTACTCTAAAAGTAAAACCCAGACCCGATTACTGTTGGGCTTCAACAATTAATCAATTAATAAAAGGTGAACTGTTTGGCCGAACATTCATGCTGATTATCAAACGTCTCCAGTGTTGCAGAGAGAAAAAGGACAGACACAGTGTTAAAGTGACACCAAGAAAACTATTATTTATTGAGTTTCTTTTTTTTTTCTTCTTTTTTTAAAAAAAAAAACAAAAACAAAACATACACTCATTGAGTACAGCAGATAAAATCTCCAAAGGCCATTTTTGAAACAGTTGCATTTGGAGTACAGAGCGTCAGAATTTTTCTTTACAATTCTACATCTGAATCAAAGTTGAACTGACATTTTTCTGTTTTTTTTTTTGTTGTTTTTTTTATAAATTATGTAAAAACCTGATTAACACAAATTCAAAGAAGAACTTGCATGGGACACGGGGAAAAAAAAAAGGAAAAAGAAAAAGAATGAAATAACATGATGCGAATTTCATGTTATGCTTTTTATTATTGTACACAATATACAAACTGGTCCTAGGTATTATTTTCCTCACTTATATTTGCTGTCCTACTTAGATTAAAATGTGAAGATAAATAAATAAAAGGATCTAAGTAGCTCAAAAGGATATGAGGTAAGTGAGTATGGAAACGCAGATTATATCCAATAAAACAAGCAAAAAGAAAAAAAGCAAAGGCCCGACATTGTACAAAAATAAAAATAAAAAAAGTTTTCAAACATGAGATTATTGAATCCATGACCATTGTCTATCAAAAGATCATTTCATACAGTAACCACATTTCTGGTAGGAGTAACACTGTGATTACAGCAGCACCTTGTGCCCAAACTATTTTATGTATATTTATATATATGAAAGAAAAAAAAAGAAAAAGAAACATTTTATTCGGCTGGTTTATCGTCTGAAACAGGAAGAATAATTGGGTGATGTGTGAATTAACCACAGCTAACAACAGGCATGGGGCAAGAAAAAAAAAACAATTGTAAAGAAAAATACAATGGAAAATAAGAATGAAAGTCAATAAGGGGTACAGGTGGAGTTGTGGATGTCTTGCAGATAAAAGTACAGCTTATCCATTTCTGCTGCAGCACAGAAAGGGGAGGAAAGGAAATGCATCAGGCGACTCCAAGATGGAGGATTGAGAGTTGATGAGAAAGAAGCTGAATGGTTCTTACCTTCACTGATTAATGCACATTATCTGTGCTTGTCGGACGACTTATGAGTGTGATCGTTAAGGGAAACTGAATCACTTAAAAAAATGTTTTTTTTTTTAAAAAAAAGCCGTGGGACTATCGACTGTCTAAAATGTGCTCCATCAATATCCAGAGGGGGAAAAAAAGCTCAGGTGGGAACCAGAACCGCTTCCTTTGATATCATTTGCAATTTTTTAATTTTCATCTTCGAAAGTTTATCTAAAAACAGTCAAAAACGCTGATTTGTTGAAAGAGTTTGGGCAAATTGTCAACATGCAGAGCAAAACGTTTCACCCACCAGAGATCAGGTTTAAGTCACAGA